GCCTCTGCTGTGCCGAAGTGGGTTATACTCTGATGGTTTAATCTGATGCATTTGTTATGGTTCTTTTATTTATACTGAGTCTTCTTATTGTAATTCCCCAGCTGTTGTAGCTTTCATGGCTTTGCCGTTAGTTCTTGTTGTTTTCCTTTTCTATCTTCCTTACAAGTTTTCTGGTTTCTGTAATTGTAATTGATTTTTGTTCTTAATACATGGGCTTCTTGCCCCGGGTTTACCCAAAAAAAAAAAAAAACATTCATAATTATAACTACACACATAGTTTCACACATAACTATACACAATAAAAATACTTACACATTCTACTACTTATACAACTATTGTGCCTACAAAAAAAAAAATCATGTGCATGTATTTCACTAGTTCTCAGCTTGCCATTTATTGCCTTCATTTGTTATCACTTACTGACAATGTGTATGTCATTGATCACATCACTTACATGATTGCCTCATGCAACGTGCAAGTTGACATCAAACTCACAAATTTGTGCATGTTAATTAAGCATTATTCTTGTAGTTAGTCGCCCGCAAATATCATGCTTGACTCTCATCCTCGATCCCCAATGGTAGCTTTGAATATGTTTTTCATCAAAAATATAAAATAAACTATTACAATTAAAGAGGGTTTGATTATAAAAAATAAAGCTCAGTTTTTTTTTTTTACAAGTAAAGAATTTGTTTATTATTTTAAACTTGAGAATCAAACTCAAAGTTAATCTTTTTCATGTAATATTAGGCATACAATACATACATGTATTATTTTAAATAGACAAATGTCCTACAGTAGAAGCTAAGTACTAAACTTCATTATTTTATTTTTGTCACATTTTTATGGGATTGCTACTTTATATTATTATTTTAAGAAAATTTCTTAATGATAAGTTGCTTTTAATCAGATATATTAGGCTTATGTTGGGACGACTTTATCTATGTTTCTTAAAGCAACTTTTTAGATAAAAATTGTAATTTTTGTATAGAAAGCTGCTTTATGAAACAATAAGAAAGTCTTCCCAAAGGAAGTCTTAATATGTGGTAGTTATATGAATTCGATCCGACTTGACCTACGTCCACTCATCGGAGGCACCCTCTGAGCATTGCACTAAACCTTTAGTGACTATCCTTTAACTCACACAGCTAGGCGAAAAAGCCCTTACAAAATCACTTCCACCTTCCCCGGTGTAGCCTCTCATTTTGTTAAATTTAATTTTAATTTAATAACTCATCATTTAGCATAATTGATATGCATTAAGCTCCAATGTACCTCAAATTTCCCATCATTATGTAACTAAATCTTCTCATGATATTTTCATTGTATCTTCCTAATTTGATCATGTTTATTTGGTTGAATTTGAGGACTAAAGTTCTTTTGACTATGCTCTTTAATTTGGTCATGCACTTTTGGCTAAATTCATTTTTAGTGTAGTCATGCCATTTCGATTATGCTATTCTAATTTAATCATGTTCTTTTGATAAGGTTTCCTTAATTTGATTAAGATCTTTTTGACTAAGTATACCCACAGTATGGCCATGGCCTTTGTGCTAGGTTCATCTTTTATTGTAATAATGCTCTTTTGAATCTACTATCCCTATTTTAGTGGCCTACCTTATAAGAATCCCTTTTGAAAGGTGTCATATTACATTTGGTTAGATTTTGTCCTGACTTAGTCATTAAGTTTTTCAAGATTATCCTATGGCTGAACATTTTTGACTTTGGGTATACACCTATACATAAAAGTAATTCCTTTCCATTCAAAGTTGATCATGTTTACTTAGATTTACCTTGCACTTTAGACATTTTGAGCTATTTTTAAATATCTTGACTCTTTTTATCTTTCAAATACTTGTGTCGTTCATAATATTTAGATCTTAAACTTAATGGTTGATAGCTCAACTATCTCGCATCATATTAATTGTATTTGCACATACATGAAGTTGACTGACATATGATTAATTAGTTCGAACCTATTTAATTTTGAGATTTGAATTGTAAACATGATAGTTTGACCATATTAATTGTATTTGCACATACATTATCTATTGCCCTGCTGCTACTGCCTTTTGAATTTCGATTCCAGTTCATGTTACTGTTGTGTTTTCTAAAATTTTAGGTTTATTAAGATTATATTATTTTCCCTGGATGATGATGTTATTCCTTCGATGGTCGTTTGGAAATTAGGGGAGTGAGGGACGCTTGTTGAAGTGCTAATTAAACCTATTTGATTATTTTTCTCTTGCCTTGAGTCTTGGCGTTCATATTTTTAATGCTGTTGAGTTGGACTCAGTGCCTTTATGTTCAACTCCGAGCTGTATGTTGAAGTCAGTGGCTGTGTATAGAAGTCAATGGATGTATGCTGAAGTTAGTGGCTATATGTTGAAGTCAGTAGATGTATGTTCAATCTTCTTCAATGTTAGTGGATGTTTGTTGAAGTTAGTGGCTGTGTGTTCAAATGGTGTAGTGTTTTGCTATTTCAATGTAGTGCATGTTTGCTCTTTGATTTTGTAAAATAATGTTATGTTCTTTCAATTTATTTTCAGAATGTCAACCCAAAGAGATAACACATGAATCTAAGGTTTGTTTGGGACGGCTTTTTTTACTGCTTCTTAAAATTGCTTTCTAGTACAAAATTTTAATTTTTATACTAAAAAGCTGCTTCTAAAAGCAATAAAAAAGCCGTCCCAAATGAAACCTTAGTGAACCAATGAATGTTAAAAATGCAAGTGTTCACGGACAATCTCAATCTGATATTGCTGGTGAATAAGTGAATGAGGTTCTAAATGATAGCCAGATTTGTAATGATCGTAACGAAGTTGAGAATGATGGTGGAAGAGTGAATGATAGAGTTCCAAACAACAAAATTGAAGAAGTGGAAGATGATAATGAAAATGCTATTGAGAGGAAAATAAAAATAAAAAAAAAAACTCTAGGATCAATTCAAGGAAGTGGTTATTACTAATGGGCAGAGAAAGGAAGAATGTTTTCATTATAAGAAGAAGCTATCTTTGGGTAATACATGTTTCACCGCTTAGTTTAAATGACATTTGGAACGTTGCGCAACTAGGATTCTTGCTTTGAAGAAGTTGAAGATTATACATTTTTAACCTGTTGAAATTGATAGCTCATGTGCACAAATTAGTCAATACCAATAAGTACAATAGCTTCAGAGTTCACTTTTAGTGCACGTCAGAATTTTGAAGTTACGACATGATGGAAAAGCAATCAAACGAAATACCGTGTGCTTTCGAGAATGGATGTGGACATTTTATCAATACAATTAACTACAGTAGCTTTAGAGTCCACTTTTAGTGCAGGCGAATGGGTGGTTGAACATATCGTTCTAAATTAGATGCGGAGACAATACAATATCTTTTTTTGTGGTTAAAATTGGGTTCATTGTCACTACGGATTGAAGGGACGGAAGAAGGTAGTTAACTGTTTAATTAAATTTTTTTGTGTGACAGAAATTTTTCTCTTCATACATATCTTTAAGAACATATGAGGATGTTGTCATTTTCTTTTTTTAGGAAGAAGAGAATGATGAGAAGGTCGAGACTTTATTTCCAATTGCTTGAATACTCACGAGGTAAAAGAAATTAAGTAGATGTAAATTTATTTATGCCGAGTTATTCTGAAATGCAATTAATAAGCATTATAAATATGCAGCTAATTTTCGTTGTTCTGAACTGGATGATTTGTTGGCTGCATCATGGAGGCTGAACAGTTATTAATATCTGTAATGGTTTAGTGCATTACTAATGCTTCGCTTATGAAGTTAACATCGTGGAGCTCAGTGTGGACTAAATGAGCTTAGCTCGATAATATCAATATTCGACTCGACTCCACTTATTAACACCCATAATCTTGTTTACCCTTCTTTACAGTTCTCTCTACTTGAACCATACGAAGAAGACTTTAATTTAAATTCCGATGCCCTTAACCACCATCGCCTTTTCAATTCCAAGCAAAATCTCAATGGCGATACTAGCATCCAATAACTCTTGATTCTATGGCAAGGACGCAGCCAAAAATGTTATGTGGGTTGCCGTAACTGAACTGATCGAAGCAAATTTATCCTGACTTCGACCTTGACGACAAGGTCTCTTTCCCAACGGGTGAGGGATTTATGCAAATCTCCCCAACCATGGCAGCCTGACGACTGGTTAGCACGGCCTTCCATGAACCGCAAGCCACCATCTTGAAATAATCCGAAAATTTCGGGTTAGGATCAACCCGAATCTGAAATGGGTCGAACTTAGGTTCAACAAATCAACCTGTTTCAAAAACTGGGTTGAGTTGACCAGGATAACCAAAATTGATCTTTTTTTTTTCCCCGAAAATCCATTTTTGACCCGAAAATCCAAGATTTGATCCGAAAATCGAAAATTGACTCATTTTTTGACCCGAAAACTAGCAATTTTTGTCGGCCCCAGGTTATTCAGGCTGTGTCGGGTTGACCCGAATCCGAAGCAGGCCGGGTTCAGGTTCGAAAAACCGACCTATTTGCAAAAAAACGGGTCGGATTTGGGATGACCCGAATAGTGCCGGATTAATTCTAAATTCGACCGGAATCTGACCCGTGATCAGAAATTGTCACCCCTAAAATAAATATGAGCATCTAACTTCGATCAATTTAATTATTTTGGAGTGCGGGGCACGCTCATTCTTATTTAATAGATGGTTCATAATATATGATGAAGAACACTTGCAATCATCTTGCTACAAGTAAAGATATACTAAATCAGTGGTTGGTAGAAAACTAAATCAGTAGATCAAAAGGAATTAATTAATAAACAATCATCTTCCTCTTCCTGAGATAATTCTCCACTTCTGTTCAATTGAATTCCCTTCCTTCACCATTCCTACTCACCCGCCTTATGGACTGGCCGGAGATTGCCGAAGATCTCATCAAAATACGACCGTTTATCCCTATCACTTTCCAAAATCTTAAACAACTGAAAGCCAAATGATTCAAATTAAACAAAAATGTGTAAGAGATTGAGAAACATTTTAATTTGATGGATGAAAACAAGTCGACATATTTTAATTTGACAGATGAAAACAAGCAGACATTTTTTTATTTGATAGCTGAAGAGCTTGCTACGCTCTTCTTACATGGATATACGACGCAGACAGCATAAACTTGAGAACCAGAAGAAGTATCGATCGATCTCCTGGAAAGATGGGAGAGAGGGCTGTGAATTGTTATCTACACCTTGTTGAAGAAGCTGACCAAGCGATCCTCGAACTCCTCCGCCTTTGAGCTATGTGGTTTGAACAGAAAGAAGACATGATCCTCTCCCTCGGTCTCCATGAACTCCGCCTCCCCATCCCACCCACTCTGCTTGAGCTTGTCATAGTAAAGCCTTCCTCTATCTCTCAACAAATCAATTTCTGCGACGCACACCAGAGCTCTCCGGCACCCCAGCGTCACCAGGCTCGGCGCACTGTCCGCCATTGGATTGATCCATGGGTCGTCGAGATCCGTTCTTCCGGGGCACAACACCGGCCACAGCCCATCGGCATCCTTCGCCGTGCGCTTGGATCTCCTATTCTCATCCCCCTCTGCTCCAATCCTCTCCTTTCCCCAGAAGTAAGAATGTATCAAAACCATCCCTTCCACTTTCATCCCCGCACTTCCAAGCTTCAAACCCAAGTTGTGCGAAATGTTTCCCCCGGCGCTGTCACCTGCTAGAAAAATCTTGCCCAAATTCCCGAAATCCGACAACCAAGCATCTGAGCCGGCCATTACCCAGCGAAGCGCCTCCCAGGAGTCGTCATAGGCAGCCGGGAGCGGGTTCTCGGGTGCGAGGCGGTAGTCAACTGACACAGTAAGGACGTCGGCCTTGGCGGTGAGGGAGTTGAGGTAGTTGTGGTAGATGGCGGAAGCGGCGCTCATGACACAGAAGGCGCCACCGTGGTAGTAGAGAAGAACCGGGAGTTTCTTTCTGTCGCTATTGGAAGTGGTGGAAGAAGAGGGCGGGAGGTAAAGGCGAGCGGAGAGGCCGGTGGAGGGGTTGATTATGACGTCCTTGGATTTGACGCGGGTGTTAGGGTCGAGGGCCGGGGGGACGATGTCGTCCTTGACAAGGCGTTCTACGCGGCCGCTCTGGTAAAGCAGCATCGTAGTGGGCAACTCGAAGATGATCTCATCGTTGAGGAAGGAGGCGGCGGCGGAGCTCATTGTTAATATTGGAAGCTTGCAATGTATTGGGAAAGCGAATAAAGTGGGGGATGGGGAAAGAACTGCTGTAGCGGGGAATTTGTTGCTTGGTCAAGGGTAAGAATGCTCTTCGTCATCATAATTATTAGATAAATTTGGAAAAAATTATGGCAATACATTTTATAATATAAATTGTATCAAAATGAATTTAACCAAAAGAAAAAAATCATTTCTTCCTGAAATTCCGTTTACATTGCCTAACAAAATGATTGAGCGAGCACATATACATGGTGTTATCAATAAAGTCCTCCCCACTATCAATAGTCATGTCATCATGTAGTCAATTATATTGCCACCTAACATCTCTAGCAACATGAGCTAACATATTAGCATTAGAAATGATAGAAATAAACACATCCACTAGAGGCATCACACTACCTTCCTTCTCAACAGCAACTAAGGTTTCCTCACCACAATCAAAAAAAGAAATAGAATTATCAACATATAATTATGCACCATCACCAACAATCAGACTATCACAAAGATTAATACAACAATTACTATCAAATGCAGCCACAAGGGCAGGAGCCACATTAGGAGAAACAACCCAATTCATCGAATGAACAACATCAGCAGGTGTAGGGGCTATAGGGGAGAGAATAGGGTAAGACACTTGCGTGACAGAAGGCACACCCACAGCAAAATCATTAATAACATGGATAGGGGAATGAAATTGGCAAGGCGGAATTAACTCAACCCCTACATCGCAAATAACATGCCGAGTTGTTAGGATAGAGCTAAAGCCGATCTGGCTGTGCGGCCTTGACTGAGTGAACCGACAAGAGAGGGGCGACTAGCGCCACCGCTAGGGAGCCCTAGCGGAGCAACTTTTTTCTCTCCTGGGAGGGGTTAGAGAGCCTTATTTTCATCATTGTTATATTCTAGTCATGATATTAGAAACTAATCAGGCAAGATTTAACTAACTAGGTTGTATGGGGCTAATATGTTAGGTTGATTAAGCTATAACTAGCAAACTAGCCTAAAACATGCCAATCAAATTAGAATAAACACCCCACTGGGCTTAGCTAGGTTGGTGGCGAGCATGGTTGGGATCCCCCTACCCATATTTGATTCCCTTAAGTGGGGAGAAAATAGCTGTGGGTCATGCACATGTGGGGCTAATTGCTGGTAGGCTCAAAGAGAGATTAGTTATGCCACCAAATGACTCTTATGGGCTAGCAGTGGGTAGATACCTGGTTCCAAAATAAATAAAAAAAGAATAAACAAATAGGTGGATATGGATGTCCAATTGAATAACGGTTTGTGGTCGACCAAACAACCCCAAAGCTAATCATAATGTTTTTGCTTTTGGTAGTGTTAAAATGCTAGGTTGAGATGTTAAACTAATTGGTTAGAAACAATGGGAAGTTCTTCATAGGAAAAGTAAACCATAAGGCCATCACCTATCCTGTGTGTGACTATTAACCTTACCACTTTTACTCCCTTTTTTCAATATGGCCCAAGACCATTTGATGTGATATTACTATCATTGATGGGCTAAGAAGAGATATTATGAATATCAACTTAACAACAAAGTACTAACCAACACAATGATCTTCATTAACCCTTTAGGCCTCAATGAGATGGGAAGTTAGTACCCATTAGGAGTAGATGTTTTTCTACATTTATGTTATATCCTCCCATCTGACGCACAACATATATTTTTATTAGTTATAATATAAGTAATTCTTTGAACATCTCAATCGATCACATTCAACATGCTACAAATAGCTTGTGAATCCCTTCATGTTTTCTCCTTTATCCGCTAACATCTCTCATATTGATTTACAGGACTAAGAACTTGTATATATGGAATTGACTTTGACTCATGAAATTTAAATTCTTTATGACATGAAATTTAAGTGATTTATGACATGAAATATCTTGGTCTCATTTTTGTGTGGGGTTGATTTCTTCGAGCTGGTCCTAGTGCTTAGATATTCGTAGTCTACACTGGCAAGATTCCCTTTAGGTGGATGCCCAATGACGTAGCACTGTCTCGGCCTTATAATTCAACCCAAATTAATTCCGATTTGACCCAAATTCAATTTAATTTCGAACGTAATAGTGTAATAGAACGTAGTTGAGTTGATTTGGTTTGATTCGAATTCAATTTGAACTTGACACGTTCGATAGATACTACATAACCCGTCTCAAGTTAATTGGAAATAATTGGATGTCTGATCAATTATTTCGAAACGACTCTAAACTACATTCATCAAATTTCACATTAATCAAGCTTGATTTAATAAAATTCACATTTATTAAATCAAAATTACTCAATTTCTATAAAATTCAAATTGAATCGAGGTTTTTTGAGGTGATCAAAATAAAATCGCTGACAATCGAGGCACGTCGGGAAAATCGGCACAACACCAAATTAATTAACTCGAGTCAAGTTTGATTTAACGACAATACCTTCGATTAGCCCAAATCGATATATCTCACATCAACTTAAGTTGAATTGGCGTTGATTGAGCACGTTGATGCAAATTGACACTACTCCAAGTAAAATTGAATCACAAAAGCTCAATTTAGCAATTGTGGCTTCAATTAATTTAAATTAACTTGTCTCGAACCCATCAAAATTAAATCATCATTACTTGGGTCAAATTGATCATATCGAACTATCCTAAATTTAAATTTAAATAAAATTCCAAAATTAATTCATTATTTTTATTAAAATTAATCCTCCAATATCTTTTAAAATGCAATATTTAATGGCAACCATTGATTAAAAAAAGATAGGATGGCAATTTTGAGGTCTTTTAAAGGGCAAATTATTAGGTCCGGTCACCGGATCTAAATCTACGTCCGGAACCCTGTGCTTTTCATTCGCTTTTACTGTGCTTTTGAAGTATTTTTGTAAAAGGACATCTAATATGCGCTTTTAATGTGCTTATTATTTGACATTTTGCTGTCATTTTACTGAGTATTTGAAAAGCGCAAGAAAAGGGCACCAAATACTTAATGAGTGAGATATTTGTTGCGCTTTTGCTTTATTTTTGCAAATACTCAACAAAAAGGAGCTAATATACAATTAAAATTGTGTATTAGCTATCATTTTGTAAAAATACATCAAAAGCACAATAACAACGCATGAAAAGTGCGCGAGTTCCGGACCAAATTTAGGTCCGGTGGAATAATTTGCCCGTTTAATGGGGCGGTTCAAGCACCTTTTTTTTTTTTTTTTTTGAGAAAACCCTTAGTAGGGGCTTATACGGTTAATGAAAATAAATAATACAAGTCCTTAATGAATTCAAAACCCTCTAAAAATATATCATTTAAAGGAAAACCTAGGAGCCTTTGATTCAATCTAATTATAATAAACAAAAAGAAAAAAAGAAAAAAAAAAACATGAAGACGAAAGCTAGAATTACGAAGTGAGGCACCCAAAAGAGAGAATCAAAAAAAGGCCAAAGCTAGCCAACACGTCGAGAGGCCTTCAAAATAGCAACCCAAGAACCAAATCCAAGCAAAGCGGCACCTAACCACCAACAGCCATCAACAACTCACCTCACCACCGCACCCACAACCCCATAAACCCTCTTCCTCTTCTTTATCTTCTTGCTAGTTCTCTTCTTCTTCTTCTCTAAAATAAAAAATGGAAAACTTCGAAATAAATGTAAGAGGACTTTATGTTCCTCTTATTGATGTTAATTAAACTCCTGTTAATTTCTTGAACAAGGAAGTGAAGAGATATTTGTCTTGCGGTATTATTTCCTTTCAACTACAAGAGTTTGGTAGATGTACTTTAATGTTTTGATGAACGAATGATTTCTTGTCTTAATAAAAAAAAGAAGGCTGAAATTATTTTTCTTATCTTTAAATTCTTCCGACTGAAACATTAGCTGAATAATCAGGGGCAGGATAAGCCTAAATTTTCAGGAGAGGCAAATTTAGGCTAATGATTATTTGTATTTGAATACATAATACATTTTAAAAATATCATCAACATCTTATATAATGATAATTATTCTTAAACAAAATTAAATTAGGTACACCTCTGCAAAATGTATCGAGGGTTTTCGGGGGCAGCGCCCCCGAAACAAAATTTGGTTGTAATGATATTTT